ACCCTAAAATCTGTTAGGGATTAGAACAGCGCTCCCAAATACTTTTGACAGTTTTGGCCTTTGGAATGGAGAATGTTGTAAGAGGTCCAAGGACATTTTGACTTTTAGCCAAGAAACTGGCTATTTTTCTTTGGGGTCTTTTTACCCTAACTGCCTATCCAATTCCTACCTCCTATTCTTATCACACCATCCTCTGAAGAGGTTACCCAAATTGATGGTTTGGCGTTTTATGCAGTTATTAAGTAATACCAGCTGATACGAGGAATGCAAATGTGCTCTGTAAGGAAGGGAAGCCTGTACAAAAGGGAAAAGTGGGATTGCATTACAGGTATGTACACATTCCTTTGAATGTATCCCTGTGTGTGGAGTATAACCAATTATCTAAATGTGAGCTGACAAAGTGAGACATTTATATTTTCTGTATTATCTACTTTATTGGTCTTATTTTCTAGATGAGTTCAATTTAACTTAAAAATCCAAATCATAAGGATTGCCATGTGAACCAGCCCTTCCTTCAGAAGTCTTTGAAATTATGCTCTTTTTTGTCTTTCTTTACCCCAAATCCTCACTCTGAATCCCAATTTCATGCTTTGTTTTATGGGCCATGTCATATCAGCTTAGGAAGTACTTGGGCCGTTCATTCACGATGGGGCTTCTTGAGTATGAATGAAAACAAGTGAACTCACACTGTTGTTTCCATGTTAACTGGTCATTAAACCTTTTCAGGGCTCATGATTCATACCATCTGTACCTGTTCCTCAGAGCCCATCTTCTGATAGACTTCTAATACTATAAATTTCATATTTTCCATTTGAATTCTGTGACAAGTTTTTTGTAAGAATCAGTGAAGAGCAGTTGAGAATTTGGGTTTACCAGGACCTCATTTTGGAATGTACAGGATTCAGAAATGCAAGTCTATTTAATGAATAACTAGACTTTAAAAAAGCAAGGGGGTGGACAGGAGGAGGGAGGTATGCATAAAGAAAGCTACACGCAAGCTGTTCTTGTTTCAATTGCTGTAGACTGATGGGACACTGCAGAATTTACAGGCCAGTCTTGACTTCATTTTGTTTCTGTTTTGAACATTCTTTCATTATTTTTTTCAAAATGCCCTTGTTGGAACATAGTATCCTTATTTTGAATTTGGAAAATATGCTTCATACTTCTAGACTTCTAATACTATAAATTTCACATTTTCCATTTGCATTTTTGTGATTTTTTTGTAAGAATCAGTGAAGAGTGCTTGAGAATATTGGTTTACAGGAACCTCATTTTGGAATGTACAGCAATCAGAAATGCAAATCTATTTAATGAATAACTGGACTTTAAAAAAGCAAGGGGGTAGATAGGAGGAGGGAGTGCCCCTTTATTGTGATTAAACATTTGTGTCTTTTCATTCTGATCATCTTTTAGTATGTACAAAGAGCCACAGAAAGGTATGTAAAAATGAACCCTGTTTTTATTTTATTTTCAAACAGCAATTAAAATATATACGCAAGACGTTACAAAATTCTAACACCATCATTGAGATTTAGCTCCTGTACATCACCAGTGTGGAATAGTTTGGTTTTGCTTATTTTGAGACTATGTCTCTCTATGTAGCCCAGGCTGGCCTCATGATCTGCCTGCCTCAGTCTCCTGAGTGCTGGGATTTCATGTGTGTACCACCATGCCCGGCCCATTGTGGAATTATATAATCAGAGGCTGTTCCACAGATGGGCAGGAAAGCAGGATAAGAGAGCTCCCTTGATGACTCAAATTATTACAACATAATAATATTTTTTAAAAATCAAAGGAAGCTTCTGATAGATGGATAGCCTTGTATAAATAGGCAACACAATTAACTAAAATGTAAACATGTGTTTTCTGACACCGGTATAGCTACAACTGGAGCAGTTTCTAAGTTACCCCACTATGGTGATTCTTACACGCTGCTTCTTTGGGATGTGATCCCTCTGTATTTTTTCCCATTCATCATCATCTGTGTCCTGGTCAAATGTCTCAGGGTATGCTGGTAACTTGTCTTTAGGGCATTCTTCATAGTAACTCCGCACATATTTCCCCACAGACCACCCTTTGTATTCTTCAGGCGTTTTGCATTCCAGGCCGTTGTAATGGACATTGTAATGGTGCTTTAACCAATAGTAGAGGTAGTGGATGCTGTAGTCGCATCTCCAAGGGTTATCTCTGAGCCACAGGAGTTTCAGAAAATACAAGTCTTCTAACACTCCATAGTCGAAGTTTTGCAAATTGTTGTTTGATAAATCTAGCTCTTCTAGGTGTGTCAGTCCTAAAAAGGCAGCTAGAAACAGAAAATATTTATTAACTAGTGAGTAAATTAATTGTGCAACTGCATGTGGTGTGTCATAAGGCCACAGACAAATTAAAGTAAGAGGTTTAATTCTCCCTGTTGAAAATAAAGGAAGAGAGTTCCCTTCCCTCTGTTTCCTCAGAGCATTCACTTTAGAAAATATGAGTTGCAAGTACGTTGTCCTCTTTCTGAAGTGTCTTTAAATACTTTTGAAGACTAGACCAGATATATCAGGGAGATAGCATCCCTGTCTCCCAGCATCTGTCTGTGTGAGGAGAGGGGCCAAACTTTGGCAGGGCCTTGTTTCCAGCTGCAAAACTACTTCCTGTCATGAAGACAGAAGTGTGGTGTTCTCTACATAAAGCTAAACCAGATGGTCACCCCACTAACCAGGTAGAGGTAGGATAAAAATGTACTGTGACGTCCTCTTACTTGAGGATTAGCTGTTGCTTATTCTGAAAAATGTGTGTAATTGATAGTGTGTTGGGGGTGAGAGTTTTCTGTCTTTGCAGTCTGTTAGTGGTTGCCTGTGGTGTGCATCACATTCTGGTGTAATGTTTATTCAATAAGGAACGTATTTTCTTTCTCTACTTACTCTTCTGTGGAAAGGATTTCTGGGTTGGGAGATTTTGTTTGTTTTTTTTTTAATCATATCTTCCTACTGTATATGTATCTAAATGCAAGATTTGTGAAGTATAATTTTATTCAAACAAAGCTCTTCTTTGATTAGATAGGCTAGCATGTAATATTTTATTTGAAAAAAATCAATTTTAAGTTATTTTTTTAAAATAAGTTTTTCTGATGTAATTTTTTTATACTTACTTGGAAAATGCTGCAAAAAAAGTCATAACTAAGGACATGGTATCAAATGTCAAGACCTCGGGGCAGAAAAAAGCAACAATTGTGACTGTGAGTCCTGGGTTATCAGTGAATTGTAAAAATACATAGAAAGCAGTCTTTCTCACTTTGGTTGTGCTGCTGGTGGTGGTGGAGAGCCTATTCTTGCAGAGTCCCAAACCAAACAATTTCTACTCACATTTTGAAAACATCTGGTTGAGTTTGGTGGGCTATGGCAGCTGTCAGCTTTGAATTCATATGTATTTGATTTTGCTGGAAGCCGAATAATTACAACAAATATCAAACATGTAACAAAATAAAGTAACAACTCCCTCCCCACGCCATTTTCCAATAATAAGGAAAGCTACACATAAGTTGTTCCTGTTTCAATTGGTATAGACTGATGGGACACTGCAGAATTTGCAAGCCAATCTTCATTTTGTTTCTATTTTGAACAGTCTCTCATTATTTTTTCAAAATGCCCTTGTTAGAACATAATATCCTTATTTTGAAGTTGGAAAATATGCTTCATACCAATACCATTAACTATTCTCATATTATCTTTTCTTGGCCAAAACCCTAAAAATTCTACTTTCTATTTTGGGGCAAAGCAAGGATTTCAGGGCAGAGACAGGAGGCAGAAGGTTAGTCCTTGTGATGACAGTTCTGCAGACCTTGCACTTTTTGGTTCCATTTGCTAAAATTCTGTGAGTCGATGCTGTCACAAATTTACTTTTCTTAAAGCAAATCAGCCCCTCAGATTGAAAGCATGTGTAAACATTCCTACATTGCATTTCCGCAGTGTGATAGCTGCTACTTAAACCATATGTATCCAGGCCCTTGGGAAAGCTAGCTTTGTTTCTTGAAGGATGTGAAACCCCTAGTAGGCAGCTTCTTTTTTTCTGCCATGATGTCTGGTATTACAGGACTGTGACCGTGTCTTTTGAAGTCTGGAGCCTCAGCTGCTGCATTTGTGCACTAACCAGCATGAATCCTCAAGTAGATCTACTGGGTAGTACTTCATTTCAAGGACCTGAAACATAGTAGATCTTTTATTTTAAATCTTGTTTTGTTCACTTTATCCTATTTAAGAGCTAAGATAATTTGTCTTTTGCTCCAAAGGACACCAATAAATGTACTTGGCACTTGGTTCAATACATATCTGTTAGTGAAAACGCTTTCCTTGGGTTGAATTAAGCAAAGGGAGGAGGGAAGTGAAAGGGAAGAGAGTTCTTTGCATGTTGTAGTTCTACTGTGATTGCACCATTGTTCCATGACTGCCGTTCACTGCTTTAACATATTTAACTTGACCTTTATGATAACTGATGAGTTTCTTTTAACAAAAGCTCTAAAACTTGTCTACATCCATTGTGCATGTGTGTGTGTGCGCATGCATGCATATGTGTGTTTGTGTGTGTGTATGTGTGTGTGTGCATGCATGCATATGTGTGTTTGTGTGTGTGTATGTGTGTGTGTGTGTGTGTGTGTGCGTGTGTGTGTGTGTGTTTTGCTGGGAACTGAATCCAGGTGTGTTTGCGTGTGCATGTGTGTGTGCGTGCGTGCGTGCGGTGTGTGTGTTTGTGTATGTTTTGCTGGGAACTGAATCCAGGGTCTTCCACATGCTAAGCAAGTGCTTTACCAGTAAGCTACACCCCAGCCCTTGCATCCATATTGTTAACAGTTGACAACTACAGTTTCGAATGACAATATTAGAAGGAAATTAGACACTTGCCCAGGGACCCTTGGTATGGCATACTTGTCCTATGGATATATGGATTTTAGGGGCCAAGAGAGGGTCTTTACCTCCTCATTCTTCAACCTTTGGCCTAGTTTTGAAGAGACTGGATGCAGTGATTGATCTGAAGACTAATATAATGACCATATGAAAGAACTGTCTTCATAGTCATCTTATTTACTATGAAGTAAAAATTGCTTTTAATCTTGTCATTGAATGATACTCTTAAGTTTGCAGTATGTGTACAGGATAAGGTAAGTGTTGCAAATTGTTGCTCCTTAAAAAAATTAAGTTAGGGGCTAGAGGAATGGCTCCGTGGTTAAGAGCACTGGCTGTTTTTGCAGAGAACCCAGGTTCAATTCCCAGCCTACACATGGAGGCTAACAACCTCCCATTATTCCAGTTCCAGGGGATTCAATGCCTCTTCTGACCTCTGCAGGCATTGCATGACATGGGTGCACGTACATTCATGCAGACAATACACTCACATACATAAAATAATAAATAAAATATTAAAAAAGAAAAACCTATGTAAAAAGCTGAGCTTATGTAAAAAGTTGAGCCTATAGTTTCATGTTGGCAAGGTAGAGATAGGAGGATCCCTGGGGATCCCTGGCCAGCCAGTCTGGTCAGTTGGTGAGCTCAAGATTCAGTGAGAGACTCTGTATCAAAAATAAAGTGGAAAGTGATTGAAAAGATACCTGATGTTGACCTCTGGCCTCTACATACATGTACACACAGGTGCATACACACATCTACACAAAATTACTGTAGTTAATCTACTATATTAAAATTTTTATAGCATTCTGTTGCATTATTGTGAGTACTAGCAATCGTTTTTCAGCTGGGCCTTTCGAATTGAAAGAGCACTATAAAGGCCTGTATGCATGTCATAGCCTAACCAAGACTGCAGTAGTCTCAGTTCTTAACAAATCTAGTGTGTTTACTTAGTTTACTGAGCTCATTTTCTGCCAGAAGTTTTGCTTAGGAAGTAGAGATGAGATGTAAAGGGTAGAAAAGAGAACTAATCTTGATCTAGGATTATATCTAACCTACCTTACTCTGATTTGAGCACATCTTAGCTCAAATCATGAACTTGGCATTTTGCAGTTAGTTTTGAATTGAATCTAAAGAAGCAGGGGCTTAATGAATACCACCAAAGAGGCTAAATCTGAATTTCCATTTAAAACCATTACATGCTCAGTGTATTAATGACTTCTTTCCAGATATTCCTGTTTTTTAATTATTTATATATATATGTTTTCTATGTGTGTATATGTGTGTGGTATATGTACATGTTCATATGGGTATATGAACATGTGTGCACATGTACATAGGGGCCAGAGGCCAACATCAGATGTCTTCTTCAACTGCTTTCCATCTTTTTTATATATTTTAAATATATTTTATTTTTATTTTATGTGTATGAGTATATTGCCTGCATGTATGTGAGTGCACCCGTGTCGTGCAATGCTATGGAGGTCAGAAGAAAGCATCAGATTCTCCTGGAACTGGAGTTAAGGATGGTTTATAGCTGCCATGTGGGTGCTGGGAATTGTACCTGGGACCTCTGCAAGAGCAGTCAGTGCTCTTAACTGCTGAGCCATCTCTCCAGCCCCCTGCTTTCTGTCTTTAAAAAAGTTATTTATTTTTATTTTATGTATCTGTTATGCCTACATGTATGTAAGTGCACCCATGTTGTGCAATGCTCACAGAGGATAGAAGAGGGCATTGGATCCCCTAGAACTGGAGGTACAGATGGTTGTTAGCCACCATATGGGTGCTGGGATTCATTCAAACATAGGTCTTCTGCAAAAGCAGCCAGTGCCCTTAACGGCCATCTTTCCAGCCCATTTTTCCATCTTATTTTTGAGACAAGGTCTCTCAATGAACCTGGAGCTCATTTATTTGGCTAGGCTGGCTGCCTAATTAGCACCAGGGATCTGTTGGTCCTCTCCTGCCCAGTACTGAGGTTATAAATGTGTGCCGTTGCACTCAGCTTTTATGCAGGTGCCGAGGATCCAAACTTAGGTCATGTGCTTATGTATCAGATACTTTACCAAATGAACCATCTCCTCCTCAAAACTATTTCTTATTTTTTAAAATATAGACAGGTGTGGTAGCATGCACCTGTAATCCCAGCATTTGGGAAGCTGCAGCAGGAGGAGAACAAGTTCAACATCAGTCTGGACTACACAATAAATCTCTCTTGCTCGCTCATTTTTTCTCTCCACAAACAATGTGCACACACACATTCTACAATATGTTGCTTAAGTTCTATATAGTCAGTGTACTGCAACTGTGGGGTTCTATATTTGCAGTTTCAATCAACCACAGATTAAAAATAGCTGGAAAAAAATGGCATCTGTTCTGAACATGTAGTGTCCTGACTAGACTTTTTCTTGTCATTATCCCTATACAATATAGTGTAACAACTATTTATATAGCACTTACAATATACTAAGTATTATCAGTAAGATAGAGGTTAATTAAAGTATAAAGTCCATTTTACACAATGAGCTTGAGCATCTGGATTTTTGTGTCCAAGAGGGTCTTGGAACAATGGCTCTGGATGCTAAGGGATGACTGAATAGCATCACATACTTCATAAAGCAATGCTTTGGCTCATACTTCTCTGAGTGCCAAACAAGCCCTAATTTAAGTGTATCACTTAATTAAAATTCACAGTGTTTTACCTTAGTTTTTAAAAACTAAATGATATTGATCATACACGTTGCCATAGAAGAAAAATCAAAGAACAGCTGTCACCCACTTTACACACTATTCAGTGGCACTTACCAGGATCTATGAATACAATGCCATTGCTGCTGAGGTTTAATTTCTTTAGTTCATGAACATCTTCAAATTCCTTGGGTCGGAGCTGGTTGATTTTATTGTATGACAAGTCAAGCTTAACAATGTCTGGAGGGATGTTGTTTGGAACTTTCTTCAACTCTGGAAAAATGAATTGTATTTAGGTTACACTCTTCCGGCTCCTGTTTCGTGTTAAACCTGTGGCTGCAGAAGCAGCTCTTAGTGGAGGAAGAGATATCTGAGGTCAAAGAAAACTGACACAAACAAAACATAATAGGTGCTGAATTCAAATAAAACATCATGCAGAGAGGAAGGGGTATCATTCCTCAATGAACTGGTCAGAAAAACTCCCCAGCTGCAGGGATATGAACTCAAGAGGAAGACCAGTAAGTCATGCAGCCAAAGCTGTTAAGCCATTTGGGAAGCAGAGGGACTCCATCCTGGTGACCCAAAAGGCTCATCAGGAATCCTTTTGAATAGCCAGGCATGGTGGTGTCCTTGAGAGACAGAGACACAGAAGATCACTGCCAAGTTTGAGGCCAGCCTGGGATATATAGTGACTTTCAGGCCAGTGAAAACTATATATTAAGACCTTATTTCAAGAAAGGAGAGAGAGAGAGAGAGAGAGAGAGAGAGAGAGAGAGAGAGAGAGAGAGAGAGAGGAGAAGAGAAAAGGAGAAGAGACAGCATAGAAAGGACAAAGAAAGGAAGAGAAAAGAAAGCCGTCAGTGAAAGCGCTGTGCCTCCCTGCTCACACATTGTTTCCACTCCTAAGGAGTTTTTGATGTCAGTTGAGGCCTTTTTTTCTTTTTATCCCTCATTTTAGGCTTCCTCTTCCAACAAATGATCTCAGGCCTCTCCACTCTATTCATAAACATGCTTTTGATATTCCTGATCTCACAGCCCCCTTATCCTCAAGAAAAACACTTGAAGACTCCCGGCAAGTTCCGGAAATCACAGACAGTACCAAACCCTATACCAGCATGCCTGTGGTAAAGTTCACTTTAAAGTAGGCACAGTAAAAGAGTAACATAGTCCCAAATAGTGTAAATAGAGTAATTATAAATTTGCTTTGATAAGTCATGTAAACCTTAGGAAATGTTTATTTCTAGAATCTTCTACTTAATATTTTCGGTTGTTGGTTGACCATATATAACTGAAACCACAAAAAGCAAAAAACAAAACTATAACAGATAAGGGAAGACACTCTATCTTATTTCTCCTTTCCTTAGATGCTAAAATTAATAGAAGAGGAAGCTTGATTTGCTGCCCTGACTTTCTCTTCACCCACTTATTCCCTGAGAACTGGTGTTTGTACTCTACCATTTCCAAAGTCTGGTCTAGCTGCAATCAGACTCCTTAGGAAGAGTAACCACAGCAACAGCAATATGATGACTTCTGATGATAACACAAGGAAAGCTCTGAAAGAGGAGCCCAGGTTGTTTTCTCAGAGTTATAGGAAACCAAGGCTCATCGCATTTTGTCTTTTACTCTTCATGCTTCTATCTTTATATCATGCTTTTCAAAAAATGACAACCACAAATTTTTATATTTTAGTGTGATACTTGGCCCTTTCTCTTACTATTTAGTAAGATATTCTGAAGAAGTCTTGCTCAGTTTTAATCAAAGCAAGTGTTACCTATGGATAGAAACAAACATTCCTATGAAGGAAAAACAGAAACAAGAATAAAACATCCAGACTAACTGACATCTGAGAAATAAGATGACCCAAGGGCTTTCTGAGGAAACAGAAATTCTTAGAACTAGTAACTGTAAAATACATCTAAAAATATGTATTATTTTTATTTTATGTGTATGAATGTATTGCCTGCATGTATGCAAGTGTACCCATGTCACGCAATGCCCATGGAAGTCAGAACAGGGTGTTTGATACCCTGGACCTGGTGTTACACAGACAGTTGTTAATGCCATGTGGGTGCTGGGAATCAAACTCGGGTTCTCTGCAAGAGTAGCCAGTGCTCTTAACCACTGAGCCATCTCTCCAGTCCCTGTAAAATACGTTTTCAAAAGGTGGTATTCATTTATCAACATTGCCCCTTTTGGTGCACAGTAATTGAATTGTGAATAATTCCTGTGATATATTAATTAAAAATAACAGCTCTGGGATTTAGGATTTCTTAGCACGAAGTATATTTACAATTATACTGACTTGGACTTATTTTTTACTTTCATCTAAATGGCTCAGAATCCATAGTCTTGTGTGTGGTTCGCAAGTGTGTGTATACATATACATTCATATGTGTGTACATGTGTATATGCATGTATGTGGAGGTTAGAGGTCAACCTCAGCTAATGTTACTCAGGGGCTACCCGCATCGATTATTTCTCTTACTTGGGGCTCACAAGTTAGGCTAGGCTGGCTGGCCAGCAAACCTCAGGGATCCTCCTATCTCTGCTTCCCACGTGCTGGGATTATAGGTGTGTACCACCATGCTCAACTGTTTACATGGGTGCTGGGGATTGAACTCAGATCCTCATGCTTGTGTGTTGAGCACTTTACCACCTGAGCTAGCTTCCCAGCCCCTCCCCCCAGTCTTTGATAGGATGGCATTTGAAGTTCATTATCAGATTCTTATTGCACTCACTTATGTCCTTAATTCATTGAATTTGATTTCCCTTCTTATTAGGATCTTAGTATCTGTGTGCTCCTGTTCACAGTATGCTAGCAAAATTAAATGACAAGAACTTGATAATCTATTATTATCCTCATTTTACAGATGAGAAAACTAAGGCGCAAAGAAGTTAGACACCCAGTTTCACAATTGTGATTCAAACAAAGCTGCTGTGCTAACCCCAGCACCTGAGCTGCTGCTGTTCTGTGGCCTGTCCATGCTGTCCTTCTATTTCATGTATACTGTCCATCTGCCTAGAATCCCCCACCTGACACATACACATATGGAGGGAGGAAGAGCTAACAGGGTGGGTCAGTATATTGGAGTACTCATAAGATCTTCCAGGCCCTGTATTTAAAATGGCATCTCCTTATTGTCAAGTACCCACAGTAACAACAGTAATACAATTTCCTGTTATCCCTTCCAGTTTTTGCTCCCTTTTCCCCATGAACTTCATGAGAGAGGCTTAGAATAGTGCCTAATATATCATAAATAATAAATGGTATGTGGTGGACAGCTTCTAAAAAAGGCAGTAACAATCCCTAATACTGATACTTACCTATATAAATCACTAATGTAACCCACTAAATATAGGCTAAACCTAGTGGCTTGCTTCTAACCAATGGAATTTGGCCAGTGTGATGGGATGTGGCTTCAGTAACTAGGTTACAAGACACCGACTTTCACCTTGCTAGCAGAGCTCTAGTTCTTGTGGATTTTGACGAAGCAAACCCTGTTAGAGAGACCCATGTGGCAAGGAGTTCAAGTTTCCCAGCAGCCATTACGAAGGTGAGGCCCTCAGCCCAAAAAGCCCCCAAGAACCCGAATCCTGACAATACCCACATGAGTTTTTTAAAGGACCCTTTCCAAGTTAGGCTTTCAAATGTGATCTGAGACCTGAGCTCTAGTCAATACCTTGACTGCAACCCAGGAAAGATCCTGATGCAGAGAGCCTGGGTAAACCACATCTGGTTTCCTGACACAAAGAAACCCACCAAGATAAGAGGTGTATGTTGTCTTAAACTACTAAATTTGGGAGTAATGTTGAATATTGAATAGATAACTAACACACGATAAATAACAACTCATTAAATATTTGTTGGGTATGATGATTCAGTAATATTGAGGCTTCTTATAACAAAAGTGCTTAGAAAATTTGGGATGAAGTTATTTCTGTTTTGATAAGACATTGTTCTATATGGCCTAGAGTTATTTCTGACAACACACTGAAAGAAGAATGCTCTTGAGATTTGAATTTATGATGTTCAACAATGAGGTAATCCTCTCTTTAAGACAGCAAGATCTGCCTGGAGAGCTGTATTGTCTTGAGCACTGCCTGTAAACCAGGAGCTGGAGATCCTAGCAGTATGGATAACTGGAATCTGAGGAGAGTTAGAAGAAATAGTTTATTGACATTTAGAGTTTGGGATTCTTAATAGAGAATGGCTGTGGTATCTTCTTACAGAAGGTCTGAAAAGGAAGCTGATTTCGAAACACCTAGGAGCTACCTCCCCTCACCCCATGACCAACTACATTGTTCCAAGTCACCATCTGCCTCTTGTCTGAATTGTCCCAGTGATGGGCTAAGCCTATGTGATCCCATTAAGACACAAGTTAGACCATGCCATTTTTCCATATGAGAGAATCAATCTTCCAATGGCTTCTCATTTCACCATGAATAAAAGCCAGTATCTTCTTTGAGGTCCTGTGAAGTCTTTAAGGCTGTTAGACATCCTGTCACTAGCCTCCACAGTTCTAGAAAACCTGTTATCAGAACTTGCTTACTAAACCCACATTTACTGGGCTGGACATGAGGGTAGATGACTGAGGAACCATGTAAAACAAGCTGAAAATGGGTTAACCACAAATCAATGGGTAGAAAAAAATATTTACCAGAAACCCAGCCTAAGCAATGGGTTTGTGGGTGCTAGAAAAAGAGTATGAGTTGTAGAACCAACTTTGGGGTTTTCAGCAGCTGTCCTGGATAAAAATAGCATCCACACATAGTAACAAACAGGACATGCAAACCAAGGCTTTTCCTAGCATGGCTTAGAAAAACAAAAAAAATCTTACTTGTTGTAGTGATGAGTAAAAGCAATTATTTCTTTAACCTTTGAATTTGAATGAGAATTACAAATAATGATATCAAATGTTTACCTTTGATAGAGAATAGATAAATATACATTTCCTTAGGCCAAAAGAGAACTTCATTGCTGTCCCCATTTCTGGACCAGGTAACACATGTTAGCCATATTTCATATTTATTGCCAACCAAAACTTTTTGAGGTGGGGGAGGGAGGGAGTTTGAACTTGTTATGATGGGAGGATGATTTGAACATGTCCATTCTGCCTCTACCTCCCAAGTATTACAAGTGTTTCCATTGTGCTCAGCTCAACCTTCTGGATAATACCTCAATGTATGCTGTATTTGCTTGATTACTATCCCTTATGTGCCTTGTCCGTCCTCTAACCAAAACTTACTGACTTTGAGGAGGAAATTGGTACATT